CCTGCATCATTGGCTGTGAATTCAAAGTAAAAGAAAACTTGTATGAGAAGCCATTTATTTCTGGCACCATTGATGTTTTTGTGGTTTCACAGCTTTCTGGTGTTAAATGTTGGCCATTAAGAAATGTACGCAAGGTTGCTAGGTTACCCTGGCACGGAAAATTTGTTATTATTCCACTGCTTCATCTGTCTTGAGGGCACTAAAAGAAGAATTGATTGCATTTAGGATAGATTACCCTTCAACAGTTTTTGACACACCGCTTTGCTATGAAGAGATGCTTTGTTTTCTTAAAGGGGAACTCCGGTGCATTTTCGACCATACTGAGATAATGCTGTTTTCAAATAGTATTGACAATCCTGCAAAGGCTAAGGTGGTTAATTTTGCCCAGGCACTCGTCAGTAATTTTAATTAAGCAATAAGCGACAAGTCAAAACAAAGACCAAAACGGGAAGCTGCTCTGTCATCTATGGTGGGTATCAGATGACGTCTCGAAAATTCGTCGCTGATGACGTCACGAGATCGGCTACACCCCGCCACGGCTTGCCAGGGTGCACACATAGCTCACATTCCTCTTCTGATGCGCGAAAAGTAAGTTGGCGATATCGACGCAGAAGCAAGCTGTGCCAGAGCGTCTGAACTTACTAGTGACAAGTTCAGCAATGATTGCAGCTACTATCTCAGCGCAGAAGCATCGCTTTTTGATTTCGACCCGCCGGCGCGTGAAGCATCTGACATGCCCCGAATCGATTCCCTTGTTGCTCAATATTGTAAGACCGACATCAACGATGACGAACACGCTGTATACAGCTGACAAAACTGAACTGTGCTAGCGTTGTCACCTCGTAGAAGAAAGCCCACGTTGCATCTGTCTGCTGGGAAATGCAGGGTTTTCCAAAAAGAGTAGGCCCTTACGTCACATGCACAGGGTGGCCTGCGTTTACTAGTGTGATTGCAGAATCGGCTACTAATTTTAAAATTTGTTTTCCAAGAAACTGAATGACTTAGGGTGCATAATTTGGCACATATTATCATGGTACCAATGAAAACACATGTTTAAAGTTTTATTGAAATCAGTTAATATCGATAAAACGCCGGAGTTCCCCGTTAAGTTGTTGTTACATGAAAGTTTTAATTTGTTGTTTTCTTGCGTTAAATGATATGTGGGGTTTACCATCCCGAAACCACCATATGATTATGAGAGACGCCGTAGTGAAGGGCTCCGGAAATTTCGACCACTTGGGATTCATTAACGTTCCCCCAAATCTGAGCACACGGGCGTACATTTCTGCATCCATCGGAAATGCAGCAGCCACAGCCGGGATTTGATCCCGCGACCTGCGGGTCAGCAGCCGAGTACCTTAGACACTGGACCACCATTGCGTTAAATGTTAAACCAAGCCCTGCTGATCCTAGAAAATAGGTGTAAGTGCTCCCTGAAAAAGTAATTACAACATGTTATTAAAAACTAGTCTTGGTTCCTACTGTACTCTCAAGTCGCGATATGAGCTCTTCACATGCTGGAGCAAGAAATTGTGACGTTCCCATGGCCAGGCGAGTATCCTGTATGAAGTCGCAAGAATTAGTCCTGTAGCCTGACGTCAAGCTAGTGTCGATGTCGCGAGGTGCACCTTGGGAAAATTGGCTTTACTAGTACTGAGGAAAAAATGGCACTAAATTGGGACGAAGAAAGAATGACCGCACAACACTGAGGAACAATGAAACTGAGGAACAACTGTGTGTGTGTTTATTACACGGGAAAATATAGAGCTGCAAAAACAAATAGGACTACAACACTTGCTCATAAAGATGAAAAGCAAGATGAATCTCTCACGAGTCAAAATGTCCAAAGTTAACAGCTCAGAAACATGTTCTCTTTTTCGAGGAGGGCAAGTGGAGGCTCACTGACACACGTGTCCTTTCTTCCTAATATTGAAGGCTTCGTTGATTTCGCACTCGATCTTGTTACGATATCGTGAAAGCATCTTTCAATTATGGAAGAGCTGGGTGCAGCTGCACGAGGAACAATGGGCTGCTAAGGTGCTGCTTGTTGAAGTCTTGAGATTGAACGGGTGCTGATTCAGATGATCGTTTAAACATTGACTGGTCTGTCCAGCACAGGTGTAGCCACATGACAACGGAATGTCGTAATACATTGTTAATTCATTCCTCGTACTGTGTCCTGTGCTTCTTTATGCACGCATGCTCTTTGGGGTTACTTTACTTTTTCGCATAGGCTGCCGAGAAAGCCTTACGCCTGCTTTGCTAACGATCTTGAGTGCATGGCTCGCACTGCGTGTGTAAGGGATGGCGGAAATTTTTTTTTGTCTTGTGCTGGGTGTTTCCTAGTGCTTTGCTCAGCACAGAAAGGACAATAAATTTTTGTCGTCTCTTACATAGTTTGAATCATGCGCTCATGTAAATTGTGTATCAACTGGCCCTTCAAGACACCCTTCTGGCTTTAATTTCAAAATAATCTATGTCGGCATTTGCTGTACTTCAAACTTGCTCCGAGCTATCTCTGTACACAGGAGATTTGTAGGGCAGAGTAAACTGTCCTTCAAAAAAATGGTGTCACTACCCCTTTAATAGACAGTTATTTGGTCACCATATTGTGCTAGCAGTGAAACGAAACAGCCACTATTGTGCAATAAACATTCACATTCTCCAAAGATAAAGAGGTGTATTGGTTGTGCTTGAATTAAAACTGATGTCTATGTGAGGACTGTTCATAGTGTTTAAGAGATATCCATGTCATAAGGGTATCTTAATTGTCCCATTGCATTGTTATATGTAGAGCTCTAAAATGCTTCTGGGCGAATGACAGTTTTATGTATGAATAATGTTTATTGTACTTAATAAACAATAAAACAGTGTCATCCATTTTCAGCATGTGATGGAATTGAGCCCTGTGCTTTCCATGATGTAAATTTGTCTTATACATTTTTTTGGTATTTCCCATTTCATGTTTGTTTTTGTATTTTTGCAACAGTCATATTTGTCGCCTGTTCTGCAGTATTGTATTGGAATGGTGTTTTGCATCATACTGAATTTTGTAAGTTTTTACCTTAAACCTTTTTTATTTCTTGCTAAATGTTCTTGACATTTTTTGTTTATACCAAAGCTTGTGTCTTTATGACCCTGTAAGTTTTAATTTTGATATTACAAAATGAAATAATCACAGTTAACTTCTTTCATTGTATTACCTTCACTGCTAGAATTTCTTAAATGTGTGGAGCTTCTAATCTCATTATTGTGTTCACACTTCAACTTGAACATCGTACTTGATTTAATTAGTGTTTGCTTAATTTATTTATTCAATATTACTAGAGTACATGATTTGATCTAATGATAATAAACGTTTTATTGCATCTGAGACCTTGTGTGAGCCCAATCTTCTTACGCTTTAGCACTTGTTCCTGGGCAAGTTGATGCCTAAGTTTGCCAAACATATGTTATTCTGTTTTATCGATGGTAAAAGCTTGAAAACAAGTAAGCTTTTAAGCATGCATAGTGGCATGAAAGTTCGCTGTACTCTTTCACGTCGCTGTGCATGATTGTACGTTTTTTCTAGCTTATACCATCAATAAACAGTTGGTAATTGGCACTCCGGATCCCTAGTCGTCACCTTATTTGTGTCCATGAATCTTGTTCTAATTTAGCATTGCACCAGAAATAATTTTAGCGCTTTGATATTTAATCTTCAGCAAAAGGGTTCTTGTGAAAGACGTTCAAGCATCAATTGCGATAGTGCACAAAACCTGAAGGACCCTCGATATTACCACACACACACACATATATAGCTAGGTATTTATGCTCACTCAACATCAGCCTCGGACAGGCCGCATGGACATTCAAAGGACCATTAGGGGTAGATTATTTATGCACAATGAATAAGAAATCAATATACATATCTATTATGAACATATATGTACGTGTGTATATGTGTAATATATCCCCTGATAATCATCCTTTGAATGTCCGTGTCGGCTGTCCAAGACGGATGACGAGCGAACGTACAAATTTGTTACCTTTGTACATTCACAGTATGTCCATTGGACGTACATTGTACGTCCGTGGATATCTGATGGATGTCCGGAATATCCGAGACGGACGTCATCTCGACGTATTCCTAACGGATATCCGTGGTTACTTGGGCTGTTATCTCTAGCGTGACCTCCTGTATTCTAAGCTCACTACCTTCGTTGTCATTGAAAATCATGACTGCTGATTTTTCCTTACTGAATCTAAAATCTAGCCTATCTCCCTCATTACCGCAGATGTCCATCAATCTCTGCAAATCTTCCTTGTTGTTGGCCATTAGCACTATATCATCTGCGTACATTAATGCTGGTAGTGCCTGATCAATAAGTTTTCCTTGTTTGACTAAATAGAGGTTGAAGCCCAGTCCACTTCCCTCTAATTTTGCCTCTAATCCTTGTAGGTATATCATGAATAATAAGGGTGACAGGGGGCACCCCTGCCTAAGCCCCCGTTTTACCTCTGCAGGCTTGGATACCTGTTTTTCCCACTTTATAACTACCTTGTTACCTTTATAGATACCCTTTAAAAGATTAGTGACTAACCAGCGCAAACATGTGCCAGCGCCACCTGGCGATTTCCTCCCAAGGCATTACGCGCTAGCCAGCGCGTTCATCACACTTTTCTATTCTAGCCACTGTGACTATAGTAAACTACATAGGTCAAGCAAAGAGTAACGCGAGAGGGTAATAACCCACGGAGGAAGGAAAGATACCTTTCCTTCCTCCGTGGTAATAACTGAACGTTCCCACGTGGTCACTTGGAGAAATAGAACGCCAATCGTGGAGCAATGGGGACGGGTGCGACGCAACAGGGGCAGAAAAAATAGAGAGGCGCTGCTTCAACACATGGAGGAAGGAGCTTTTCCTGCCCTCTTGCTTCAACACTTCGTTCATGCTAGGTGGCGTGAGCCGCCGCCCAATTTAAAGTGCACAACCAAGTACACTCATCTATCTATTTGGCGTTGATGCCTGTGGCAATAGGTTTCGGACACATTTCGTTACAAGTTTCGTGACCCATATAACGAACGCGGAAACAAGGGGGAAAACTCGGCGACACGCCTTCGCGAGTGGTAGAAGGTGCTTAAACAACGGCAGGATGTCTTCGCGAGAGCTCGACATCGTCCTCTTCGGCGCCTCGGGCGTGACGGGCTTGTACGTGGTGGAGGAGCTGCACCGTTCTTCCGAAGGCCTGCGATGGGGCGTCGCCGGAAGAAACTCTGACAAGTTGCGGAGCACGCTACGCGAAGCTGCCAAGAACCTCGGCCTAGAAGGTAGGAGGTCCCGAGCTGAGAACACAGGCATTGATTTATGTTGACACTGCTTTTTTGCTCAGCCTGCGCATGTCTTGGTTCTCGGTCTTCGATGTGATCGGCTATTATGTTGATCGTGAGCATTCCAGAATTTTTGTTTCTGGCTCTTCCACCACGGTTTGAGAACAGCATTGTCTCAGTGGTAGAACCGTCGACTCCTTCGTGCAACGCCCGGCCTTGAAAGATGTACAGTCTTAATATTTTTGAGAGTAAACACGGGAGCCATTGGCTTTCGGAGCTCCGAGCGCTGTTAGGCGGCAGCACCTAGAAGCATCGTTCATGCGCAGTGTGCCCAGGCTGTGAAAATGATGCCGTCGCGCGCATTGCGTTAGGCGAGCTAGCGCCTGTCGTCTGCTGCACGGCAGTAGGGAAGTCGTGTGCTTTAACGTGGCAGAAATGTTGAACTTCTAATTATGCTCCACCCGACTCGCAAATAAAATTCAAAATACGTTATGTTTCAAGATCGTCGTTGATTGGGCGCTTTATCCGACGCATATTTTGTGTTCTAGCATGACCTGGCGCCGGGGCACACTGCAAAATTTATTATGAACGAGAACACGAAAAAATCGCCGGATCATGGTGCTCCGCTGGAAAGCTTGAGCATTTGTGAAAATATATGGCAATATACATAAAATAGGCTATGGTGCGGCACTCTGCGCGGCCACTGCGGAGAAACTGAAGGTTTGGCAAGAGTGGCAGCAGCATCGAGCACATCGTTACTTTGTGCGAGCGCTGTACTCCTCACAACCTTCCAGAATGGCAGCAGCGATCTTAATTTTCAAAGGGGAACATGACAAAATACTAATGTAACATAGAAATAAGCTGCTCCTGATTACTGATACAACTTCCTTAAACTAATTGATCTTTCGTGAAACGTATACCAAATAACAGTAATGGTGTTTGTGTTCGTTTGCCTGTTCGTTATACGATTACAAGAACGCAGGGAAAACGCGAAAATTAAGTGACACGGCCGGCATAAGAAACGTGCCGATTAAACTGAAGGCATCTAAACTTTAGTTGCCATGATAATACGATCACCAAGGGTGCCGAAAATCTGTTAGCAGACGACACTTGAGCACAGCGGTGATGCGATGCGCACGATGGGAAGCTACCCTCCTCACACATGCGTGCAGATACTGTGATGCGTCGCATAATGGCGCTAGTAGTACCAGAAGCCATGCGCTCTTGTGTTCACTCTCAAAAAGATTGTGACTGTACTCACAGTGGTACTGTTGGTGATACCTGCCAAATAATTCGGAGGTGAAAGTGTCATCAAAGCATTGCTTCGGGAGCCACGTGCGGCCTTCAGATCATCGCCGTGAACAAACCCATGATGACATCTCTGAACATTTTATGATTATTCCCTTATGCTAAGGAACACTACCAGTAGTAATAGTACAAATATGTTTATCAGGCCTTGCTTAATCAGGTCTTGATAAGTCAGGCCAGTTCTGTTACCATTTGTACCTGGCAGAAAATGACGTTGAGAATGGGCATTTGCTCTCGCACAGCATTGGTCAGACACCAGGAATTACCCTGCATTTTGCAAGAAAGTCTACTCGAGACATGTGGCTATTCAAACAAAAAGACTTGGGGGCTCTTAAATGCAATGTCCAAGTTGTTGAAAACATTCAAAAAAGGTTGCACTCTTCTGGGCCATGTCAAGGAATGGGCAGTCAACAGCAGTTTCCAATTTGCATGACACGCTAATGGAAAGGTTCTCGTTCGTCATACTGAACATCATCAGGCGATAGAATAGGAGTTTAGCAGGCCTTTACATGCTGCTCGAAAACTGCGACACATAATGCAAATGCATGCATTTTCTTCTTGCTTCATTCATCACTTACAAATTCCTCTCTTTCCGAACCGATAAGCTTGTCAGAAAGGAACAATTTCTTGGTATGATAGTTAGCTGTGTTTGAACTGTATTAACTTCAACCTTCAGTTTGCCCCGTCGTGGTGGTCTAGTGGCTAAGGTACTCGGCTGCTGACCTGCAGGTCCCGGGTTCGTATCCCGGCTGCGGCGGCTGCATTTCCGATGGAGGCGGCAATGTTCTAGGCCCGTGTGCTCAGATTTGGGTGCACGTTAAAGAACCCTCGGTGGTCGAAATTTCCGGAGCCCTCCATTACGGCGTCTCTCATAATTATATGGTGGTTTTTGGGACGTTAAACCCCACATATCAATCAATCAAAAACCTTCAGTTTGGCCATAATAAGTGCGAGATACTTGACTGTTTCTTCGGCTGTTCTTCGGGGCTACTTAATGTAATGCCCTCTGAGACATGCTTTGTTTTGGAATATCACTCTTCCATGTTTTAAGACGTATTACGTGAATCAATCTGAGAAGCATGGTGGTAGTGTGTCTATGCTGCTATCAAATGATTTGGAAACGCTTCAAAATTTTTTTATTTCAACTCCGATTTATGAAGTGCTCACAGTGAAGACTTGTGCACAAGTATTTTTTGTGTTATTGTCCTCTTGCGAGTGATTGCCCTCAATTTTTTTTCGTTTTTGGAATCACTCTTTGAGTTGTTAAAGTGAACCGATACCATTTCATTTTTGGAGGATATTTCAACATAAACATGCTGGATGTAAATAGTACAACATCACAGTTTGTCTCTTTTGAATATCTAATAGTTTGAGACTTGTCCAATGACACCTACAAGATTTACACGTTCATGAACGACTCTCATATATCTGTTCATAACTAATTTAAAACAATGGTTTATATGCTGTGGTGCTATTGTTCGAGCCCCTATTGGTTTCTACAAGTCGTGCTGTGAACATGTCTATGTGCCCCCCCAGCAACCGCTTTTTTATTGATCTATCGAGGCCAAAACGATATCTCTATTTAGAGAAAGAGTTACTGCAAACAAACTTGAAGTACAGTGCTAGAAGAATGTAATCCAGACATAGCATATAAGGTATTTATAAGCATTTTTCTGAAAGCCTATCATTCTTTATTGCTCTTAAAAACATGCTGATGCTCTAAAAAAATGTGGGAAACCGGGAATGACAAAGGGATTACTCAGTAATCCCTTTGTCATGCTGTCCGGTAAACCGAGTGTCGCAGGAGAAGTTCGGAAGGCGCATAGAATAAAGCGTGTCCAAACGTTGGCATATAGTGGTGACATCGCGGACGGTAGTTGGGTTCTGAATAACGAGAGCATTGAAGGCCACAGAGTTGATACCTCTCAGTAGGTGTCGGATGCGCTCCGCCTCGGTCATGTCATTTTGCGCTCGGCGACAGAGAGCCAGAACATCTTCAATGTAGGACGTATACGATTCGTCGTCCCCCTGGATGCGGGTTGCGGGCTTCTTTTTCGCTACCGCATAGCATCCTGCAGATGTGCCAAATACCTGATGGAGATGCTCTTGAATGCGGACCAATCGGAGAAATCGCTCTCGTGGTTGTAATACCAGGTTTTAGCGGCTCCATCAAGGTAAAAAGGAAGGTAGCGCAGTTTGTGCGCCTCGTCGCAATAATTACACACGCTGGTTCGATCATAACTGTCTAGCCATTCTTCGACGTCTTCGCCGCGAAGACCGGAAAATACCGGAGGGTCTCGGGGAGAGGTATTCCCGGTGTAGTGAAGCCTAAGTGGCTGAGAAGGAGCGGGCGCAGCAGCGGACGCGTTGGGTTCTGCCATCGCTGTTGCTTGAGGGCACAACCGTTGACCAGACCGGAGCTCCAGGGGTGACGGGTAGAGCAGGAGGACGTGGGAACCAAAGCACACTCTACCGCTTATGAGACCACGTCCGATACGGCAGTAACCAGGTTATTTCTTTAATCCAGGTGCATGAGCCAAAGAGACCCAGCCCGCGTGACATACGATTGTCATACAGATGAAGATAAAGTACATAGTCAGCGCTCACAATATATATATATATATATATAATCTACAGAGAAAATTTCATCAATGCGCAAGCAATTTAATGTGATTTTTCTAACCGACACCACTTGAAAAGGGCGAAAAAAGGAACAATCAATTTTGCGCTGCGTGCACTGGGCCAACACCCATGTATATGTGCGTGTCATGCATGTAATAGTATTACATGTGACATTTTTTATGCACTACCTCATAACTTTTCACATTAATAAAATTATGTAAATAGCGGCCACCCCAACAATATATATTTGTATCATGCAATGACATTTTCAGTGACTAAAAGCAGCTCACAAAAAATTGAGTTCTTAAATTCGAAGCAATCCTTGAAGAACCAAAAGTACTTTGAGCGTTTGTCTATTTATCTACCTCTCGAGCCCGTTACATCTTGGTGCTTTCCTAGTTGCCTTGTCACTTCAGTACAGACCAAAATCGGCATATGGGGGCACGAGGGTATAAAGGTATGACAATGGACACTTGTACCACGCAATATTGTAGCAATATTTTATGTTACATTGTGAAGCATGTATATAGAGCGCGTGTGTTTGTGAAGCCTGAAAGCTACTTTCACAGCAATTTCAAGCAGAGGAAGTTCGTTTTCACTGTTTTCACAAGCAGGAGCGTGGCGTGTGGTAGAACATCCGCCTGCCACGCAACCGACCCGGGTTCGATCGCCACTTGGACCCAAGCAACCCTGGTTCGGTCCCCACTCTGCTCCAAGATTTCTTATTAGTTATTTTTTTATTTGCATTGTTCTCGATTTTTCTGTCTCGCATAAGATGATTTTTGTTCACAACCAACGGCGCCAACACCGACGGGGACACCGACGCCGAAATTTCTGCGAAACCAACTATTTATTGCTGTTGCGTTAATCAAGCATGAGCAAGTGATGTAATGTAAGAGGGCCCCTGTCTAGTGCTATCCCTCTTTGCAATGCCAGAGCACAAGGCGCGATAGCGTCGCATAGGTGGACCGCAGCGCAAAGAGCTTTCAAGGGAAATCGTCACACCATAAATATTGAGAAAATTTCACTATGTTGTAAACATTCCTTCATAATAATTTCATTTCCTCATA